GGAGAGGAGAAGGGGACAACACACAGTAGGGCAGGACAGTGGTACAGTTGCACCCCACTTTATTTCCTGGTCCACCTAAAGTTTAAAAGCAAACCTCCCTATCAGTGGCAGCTATATTTCTTTTCAGGCAGTGCTGAGGGAGTCAACTGACTTCATGGCTCAATCATCTATCCAATTCCTTCTCAACTCTTCATTCCACAGGTTTTAAAGCACATTTAATGGTTTCAATGTTCCACTAATTAAGCTGTCTTTTCTTTTGCCATTCTGCTATCTGCTAGTGGCTCCTGGTAATAGAGCTCCTATTTCACAGCCCTGCAGACTGGTTTTAACTCTAGGCAGAAGTGTTAACTCAGGTGTTGAAATAACTTTCAGTGAAGCATTGGATACACCGTCAAAATGCTCAAGGTTAGATGTGTTTCATGAATCTGAAGAAAGATGTACTTTAAATTCTAATGGCTACATGACTAGTGAAACAACATTTTTTGATTATTTTTGCCTAGTTTACCGTGTTTTTATACATAATATATGATATAGCAAGTTAACGCACATTCCAATGAAGTTACAATTGTTTTTGCTTCGCTCTTAAACTGAATAATATAGCTCTAGGCCCCTAGCATATTGGCAAAACTTCTAGTTTATTTTTAACTGGATAAAATATATATTATTATAGGCCGTGATGCACCTCACTGACTGCAGACCCTTTCAAAATCCTATATCCACCCATGTTACCTAGGTTTGAATTTGGAAGCTGCATCAGATGGTCAGGGACTCCATTTTATATGTTACTACCCATAGGGGAACCACCCCCCCACCCCCCAAAAAACAACAAAAAAACCAAACAAACAAAAAAACCCATCCACACTTTAAAAGAACACTCTTAAGGCTCTACAGTCAAGCATTCAGAAGTTAGGAAGTGCCAGAATTAAGGTTTCCTGTGTATCCTTAACTCGGCCCTCTTGTATTATGCAATTAAACAGTCTTTGATTAGATGATCACATGCTCCTGTTTTCCATGAAACCCCATCCTGTGATTGGAACAGAGGCTACACACTGGATGAGCAGGTCTTCAGTATTGTGCTTTCTTTTCCAGTGTGTGGCCCTCTGCCTTATTTACTGCACAATATTCAAGGCTGGCTCCGAATACAAAAATATGAATTCCCTCATGGAATTTTCCCCCTGCTGTTCATTCCTCCAGTATCGGTGTCATTTACAAGTAGCGATTAACTTATTTTCACAAAACCCTTCTGAAGGAAGCGTGGCACAATTCCCTTTTTAAAGATGGTGCACTAAGCCACTGAGGGAGCCAGATTAAAGGTATCCATTGATTGTATGGATAAAAGTAACCCTAGAAATTCCTTCCTATTGACTCCCAGTTAGTTTAAATTATCAGGACTTGAGCCTTTAGATTCATCACAGAGATCTCTGGTGCGTGACCTAATAGATTTCATAGACACTAGAGCTGGAAGGGACCTCGGAAGATCATCGAGTCCAGTTCCCTGATCCAGGGGCAGGAAGTCAGCAGGGATCACAGGATCCCAGCAAGATAAACATCCAGATGTCTCTTGAAGGCCTTCAGAGTAGGTGCTTGAACCACCTCTGGTGGCAGTCTATTCCAAACCTTGGGGGCTTGGACAGTAAAGAAGTTCTTCCTTATGTGTACCCAATAGAAGAAGCAGGTGGTTATTGTTTATGCTGACCAGCACTAGAATGGGATAAGACACTTTGCCAGTATGTATATACTGCAAGGGCAGGCAATTATTTCAGCTGCAGGGCCGCTTAGTGAGTTTTGGTAGGCTGTTGAGGGCTGCAAGGGTAGCCCCACCCCTTGACAGGTACCCCATCCCCTGGTTGACACCCCTAGCCATTGCTATGGAAGCTGATGGACACCAGGGGAGGGTGTGGGCCCAGGCTGGGGGTTGCAGTATATGCAAGCTCCTGGGGCCACCACCTCCAAGCCCCGGGGGAGAAGGGATGGTTGCAAAGGAGCTCATCCAGGAAGGCCACATGCGCATGAGCAAGCCAGCAGGTGTTCTCCCCTAAGCTAGTCAGCACACCCCTTCCCCCCCCACCCCCCAAACAGCCCATGTGCCCTGTGGCTCCTCCTTGCTACTGCCAACAGTGTGCAGCCCCAGCCCCAACCCCAGTCTGGCCTGTGCCTGCTCCGGACTTGCTCCGGCTGGAACAAACCAGCCAGACCCCATATGCACAGCCCCAACCTCCGCCTGCTCCACACCGCCCACCCACGCCAAGCAGCAGCTAGGCAGAAGCTGCTGCTGGCCCGGGGTGAAAAGCGATCTGTCCCTCACTGCTGCTGGGCCATTCTTACTGCAGCCACCCAGAGCCCTGCAGCCCCTCTCTGCCACCATCTCTACCACCTCCAGGCCACCCTGCATGGCAGCCGTGACAGGGCAGAGGAGCCACAGGGCAGCTTGGGCATGGGCTCTGGAAAGCTGCAGCAAGAACTGCCCGGCAGCGGTGAGGGGGAGAAGCTGCCACCTGGGCTGCCTAGAAAGTCAGTCCAGCTGTGGAGCCACTCCAGCCCCACTGCGCGCCCAGAGGATGGCAGGACGTGCCAGGGGCTGGATGGCACTTGCTTCAGGTGGGACCGAGGGACCTGCTGTGGGCTGGACAAAGTCCAAGCCATATTTTGCCCACCCCTGATTTACTCTCATCAGAGAACGGGAAGACTCAGGAATCTCAGGTCCCTTCCTAGGCCCGGGAGGAAAACACAGCGAGCACAGGCTGCTCTGTTCATTCCTCCCAAGCTTGTCCCCCTCCTTCCTCATCACCACCAGCCTGTCCCAAGCTTTTTTCTCTGCTGTTCCACTGGCTCCTCCTCCCAGTCCCATTCTCTTAAGTGAGCCAACCTAGGCTCCCCCTCCTTTGGTTTGTAATCCCAGTCTCAGTGTTGAAGCCATGTAAATTCTAGTTTCACTCTCTGCTCTAGTCCTAGTCTCCCCGAGTTGCCATGCCAGTTCTTCTTCATCCAGCCTCAGTTCTCCTCCTTTGCCCAAGACTACTAGTCTCTTGATTTCTTCCTCCCATTTCCCTATCCCCAGATTAGAGATTTTCCCAGGCTGTCACAGTCACCACTCCCTTTCAGCCTGTAGTCCCATCCCTGGGTCCTCCGGGTTCTTTTTGAAATCTAACAGCTCAGCTCGGCCCTGTCATGCCCCCAATTTGATTCTTGGCCCCTCTGCCTTTGAACCCAACACCTCCCTTCACCACTCTACCTGCGTGCCAGCCAGGGGTCACTGAGAAGAGATGGGTTCCTCCCCAGCAGTTCCAGAGCGCAGCCCAACCCTGTTGGGAGCAGCTGGGGCAGCCACTATAAGGAAAGCCAGGCTTCACCTTTGTAGCCTAGGGCTGGAGGATGTTCAGCTGCTGTGCAGACATAATGCAAGCAGTCACTCACAGCAACTGTGAGGGGCCGTAGCACACTAAGTGAGGGCAAAATGCTGAACTCTAGCAAGTCTCTACTGGACACATATAAACGGTGAATTTTTAAAGTCTTATCACTGAACATATCTTGGAACACTTTTCATGGGCAAGGCAAAAGGCACAACCCTGACAAGGACCAGCACCTGGCCAAATTTTAAGTCCTCACTTCAAAGCTCTTGTGATGCCATGGTTTTCAAATACTGTAGAGGGTTGCAAGAAATGTTTTAACATTGAAAAAACAGCTCATTTTTCCCTGCTCAAACAGTTGAACTGTTTTGGCTGAAATTTTTCACAAAGAATTCAGCCTGAGGCAGACACCCAACATGGGAAAATCATCAGCTTAAGTCATTAGACTGGCTAAATTATAAGCAACTGAAAACAGGGTCTTAGAGAGTGGGAAGTGTTGGGCAACCTTAACAGGCAGGGTTACCAGCCCCGCCTATAGCATCAGTCAAGTAGTAGAAAGATAGAAGCTTGTGATGCTATTCCATTCATCTGCATCTTATCAATGTCTGGATGTCACTGGCAGAAAACTAATTCAGTGGCAAGAATGAGCCTTTTGTGCCCTTGACAGTTCTTCCTACCCCTCCATCTCTGCCTATATAACATTCTGTTTTCCTGAAACAGTCATCCCTCCATAATACTCACATTTGAGCTGCTTCTTTCTTGGGTAAAGGCAGCTGACAGTAACACAGAATAGCTCTCTGAACAAATGTATTCAAAATTAATACAAAAAAAAAATAAAGCAACGCACGCTCGTCTGGCAGATCCCATACATATTTTCCATAAAAGTTCATTTTTCCACATGAACAAATTGTGAGTATGCGGGGGGTTTTCAATGAATCTTGATATGGAACTTAGAATTCTTGGCACTAGCCTGTGAAGCTAAAATGACATCAGCTTGACTTTCTATATAGAAATGTTATAGTTGCTGCCCAACCACATTTCTTTGTTCTGAGCATATACACTCTCTTCCAAGCTGCTGCTTTAGTATGGTTTACTGTTCATGGTGATCATTAAAAACCGTGCATTTGTATTCATTATAGTTCTCCGTTTTCCCACTCAAAAAGCGAGCAGCAGGACCAAGTGATAAAATGGCATTTCTCTTTACAAGACAGAAGTGCTGTCAGTTTTAGCAAGTGCATACCTTTGCCATCCCAGCAGCTTTTTAGCAGGGTTGAAGACTTGTGGGATGAGACCTGACTTTGCCATCAGGATCTGGTCACTCTCCATAAAGCCAATGGAGTTCAAAAGAATCAGGTTGGTGGGAGGGTAGGGGGGCAAGGCAGATGAGGGCCACCGTGAACAACATACATAGGCTGATGCATTGTAAGAGCTTAGTATTATCAAACTGGGAAGGGGAGAAAATTGGAGCAAGCTAGCCTCTGAGTTTGAAGTGGGACATTCTTGTGAATGGGCTGGAGGACTCCAAATGCCACCTGTAGCAACATTTGTGTGGTGCATATACTATTTGGGAGAATAGCCACTGAAGTGCATGGGGATTAGGAAGGCAATATTAAAAAAAAAGGGTGGGGGGTTAGCAAAGTAATGGACATTTACCATGTTCTCAGATGGTGCAGCCACTGATTTCAGACCAAGGAGCCATCCTTCATGGTCTACACTATGGGGGAGCTGCAGAGAGGTGGGGCCAGGTGGACTTCATACATTTCAATACTGTGAATGTACTTCTTCAAACAGTCCTTGGAACATTATATTTCATCCCTGCATTTCATAATAAAATAGGATTTCAAGAAAGAGATGTTCCTTTCCTAAATCCACTGTGTCCTTGTCTGCAACACAGCAGATAGAGGCACTTAATTAGCTAGTAATGTTGCATCAAAATACTCCAATACGCATAGCTCTGATATTGTAACAGCACTAATATACTCTGGAAACAGCGTGATGTTACAATATGCAGATTCAGCTGTTTGCATGGAGGTTACGCTGATCAGACAAGCCTGAGAGTGACTGCACTTAATATTTAACAAAACAAATCGGGGTCCTGGTTTAGGTTCACTCAGACTTGCCACAATAAAAGCCAGTTTTATTACTGCACAAAACCCTATGTCATCTACTTGCTAAATATTCAGCCTCTTTAACATATGACAGAAAAATCGCTGCTGCTTTCCTCCTGTGCAAGATCATCATTTCACCCTTGTAGGGAAATAGCCACAAAACCATATTAACAGTTAAAGATTGTGAAGTCATTTACTAAGATAGCAAGAAGCCTTGGTAACAACATTTTTACAACAACATTTTCACAGATATAGACTGCAAGAAATCTTTACCTTGAATGCAAATTGGAGAGATCGTAGCTTCCTCTTGTGGATCAGAAATAGGATAAAAAAAACAAAACACCCTAACAGGCTCATCTGCTGAGAGTTCTGTAAATCCCAAGTCTGCTTCAGCTAGCGGCTCTAAGTTTGTGCTCTGAATAGAGGCTGTGTTATTTTAACCACAGGATTTCTAGTCATGGGGGAGGAGAGATGGATTAGGTACGTTTGCAATCTAATGCTTCACGTTTAACTCAACTGAAATGAACTACTCTAAGCCTGATATAAATAAGAACTTCTGAGATATAAATTTCAAGAGTCCTCACACCAATTATGCTTAAACTAACATGCTAAATAACTGTGGAAAATTCCAGAAGAATAAGATAACATAGTCTTGTGTTCTTTCTTAAATAAGAGGCATGTGTGGAATTTCATGCTAGATACTGGCACGAGAGAGACAGCAGATGAACTATACAGAATAACCTGTACAAGGTACCAAACCTCTTAAACTAATGTTCCTAACACCTGTTAGCATGCATTTCATCAGACATCAGAGCAATCTGATTCATCATGGTCTCTAGAAATTAGATCTGGATGCTTTGAGTGCAATGTTTTAAAAGGACAAATACAACCTTTTTAGAATAAAGAGTAACCTTTTAAAAGGGGCTTCAAGTCTGTGGATGCATGGCTGTTCACATGGAGATGACAGATTTCCTCCTTTGCAGGAGCACAGGTATCTAGTGCCCTTGACACTCACAGACAGCTGTGGACATAATTGAATGCAGGGAGGATACACCCAGAGAACTGCTTTCTTTGAAGAAATTAAGCTGAAAACCTATATTCTTTGCCTGGGTTCTGGTAACCTAACAACAGTAAGGTCTTACAGCACTACATGGGCTACAGGGACAAGCTCACCTCAAAAGCAGCAATTCAGAAAATTAAAGCCAATAGATCGTCTTTGGGAGTGGAATGACATGGGGGAAGTTAATGGAACGTTCCTTGGATATTTGTCTTGACCAGAGGGAAACTGCTTGGAAAAAAAATAGTAAAAAGGAAAAATTAATTTTGATCTGTCTTTGACAACAGAAGTCCCACAAGCAGAAATTGAATATTATTTTACATAAACTGAAATCTATAAATAACATTATCTTATATTTGTTGTAATGTCTTTCAACCCAAAGCATTTCAAAGTGCTTTATAAGCATAATCAGCTGATTTGTGAACTAAAGGCAGACGTCTTTTCATTCAGCATTAGAATACAGCCACATCTGAAGTGAAATGGATTAGCCATTTAATAGCGCACAGAAACACTAATCAATAGGTTAGGGTAGAAAGGGAAGAATGGCATATCCAGCTGAAACTAAAACAGGGTTAGGTAGGCAGAATATACTGCAATTATCTGCCTTGGAATTAGGCCAGCATGTCAAGTCTAGTACCTTTTTTCTCATGATAAAGACACAGGAGGCATGAGCTACATCCTCAGTTTGTCTAAAAATCAGCAGAGGCCAACTGATTTTAGCAGAATTGCTATCGATCTTCCTGC